TATATATATATATATATATATATATATATTAATGCTACAGAAATTACAAATTATACTGCTTTATAGCGAAGTGCAAGGAGAAGACAGATCAGAGAGGGCGACTTTAATATTTCTGCGTAGGATGCCCTGCAGTGTATTATGAACCCTTCCATTGGGAATAGGCTTGATCTTTCCACTGATCTCCAGCGTTCTCATTTAGTTTCTTATAAGACGAGGTGGAGGCCAGTGCCGCAGTTTCCACTCTCATGAAAACGAACGCCTTTGCTTGTGCCCAGTACTTCTGCCCACCTGCCGAGGGTGAAAAAAAGACACAAAGAAGCACATTTACCTCATCTGTCCCTGGTGTTTTGGATGTTGCCCTCCAGAAGCTAAAGTAGTTCCGCGCTGCGCCTCTCACAGAATCGACTAAAAAGAGCTTGTAAGCATTATGAACATAATGGACTTTAATGAGCATCGAACGCCTATTATTCGAATGTACGCCAAAGATTTTTTGGGCTGTAATGCTATCAGAGATAAAACAAAGATTGCATGAAAATTGTCCCTGAGTTTTATTGAATGGTTAATCAGGCAAGTAATCAATTAAGCGCATGATTGCTTTTGATTTTAATAGCCCTACAGTATATGAAGAGGGCCTATTTTGGCCTTTGCTGCTAACTGTTAGGCATAGCTGTAATTAGACTCAGCATGTCCTCATTTAAGGAAGGTCTGTAAGTAATTAGTATCTAATTCCATTGTATCCGTAATAAGGAGAGATGGCATTGTCTTTAAGTGGAAATCACTAAAAGGCTGTTTCCCCCTAGCCAGTTTAGCTTTAAATATTATCCGGGGGTCACTAAATTTAATAAACCCAATCTTCAGGAGGTTTTGGGGGTTTGATCGATGTCTTACCATGTTGTTCTTCCTTGCTTCATATCTAGGGAATACATTCACGCTCGCTTCCGAAACAGATGCAGTCTTCCGACGTACAGTACCAGGGGGACTATTTGAATGAATTTTAATGAATATTTGAATTTATCTTAATTGATAGATCCCGATGCTTTGGTCACAAAGGGATATGCCAGTAATAATTAATGGGGGAACGTTTGTTCATAGCACACATGCTAATGCTAAAGGTTGAGTATTCTCTTTGGTTCTCTCTCTTGTCTTGTAGTTGCTCACAAGGGGACTTTGTGACACACACAGCGTGGCTGAACAGATCAAGTATACTGTATGCTGGAGAGGATAAGTGGTCCGTGGACCCCCGGGTGAGTTTGGTTACTCTGAACCAGGATGAGTTCACCATCAAAATTGAGGATGTGGACTTGACGGACGAGGGCCAATACATCTGTGCAGTGCAGACTAGCAGTAGACCCCGAACCACATCCGTGCACATCATCGTTCAAGGTGAGTTTGGAGTTTTCAGATGTGTCACGGTGTAGAGTGCTAAGAGGGTAAAAGCTTTCATATGCTGTTGATTTATTTTTTACTTCATCCAAAAATACTTTCATCCTTTACTTATTCTCCTGTCATTACGTATGGCTTTCTATCTTCTTTCTGAATGAAAAAATATTGCAGAATATCAAGAGTGCTGTTTTCTATAATGGGGATTGGAGCTGTGAAACTCAAAAATGACAAACGGGACCATAAAAGTGAAACAAAAGTAGTCCACAAATTCTGTGCTGTATTTCTAGTCTTCTGAAGTCATACAAGAATAAATAGCATTTGAAAACATAGACAAACCACTGTTTGAAATAGTCAAACTTGACGCAGTGCATCCTGATTATAATTTAACTGAACTTTAAGATAATCATTTAACCATTTAGATAACCATTTAAATTTTGGTCTTTAATTCACATAAAGCTATCTTAAAGGGGTCATAGGATGCTACATGCACTTTTACAAGTTGTTTGAACTGAAATGTGTGTTGGCAGTGTGTGTACACAACCACCCTATAATGATAAAAATCCACCCAGTGGTTTTTTTTTTATCTGGTTAAATGTTTTCCTCTTTCTCAAATCGAGATCAACAGAAGAAGTGAGTATGTTTTGTAATGAATCTTTGCAAATTGCCTTTCCTAATAATGTGCTAATTAGCAAGTTTCACGATGAATGCGGCTAAAGTGAACAGTCTCTCTGAGAGCAGCTCGGAAGAGAGGGGCGGGGTCAGCATAGCTCATTAACATTTAAAGGAAAATGCTACAAAAACGGCTTGATCTGAAAAGAGCTGTTTTTGACAGGGTAAAAAAAGGTGTTTTTTACACTACCATTGAGAAATTTTAACCAAACTATGTTACAGACTTTTCATTAAGACCCTAAAGAATCATATCAACTTGTGGAAAATGGGCATCCTATGACCCCTTTAAGACTTCAAACGAAATGAAATATCGCACATAAGTTATACCGACCACTTTTATGGTGCGCTTTTGTCACTTTCAGAGCTTGACAGCTCCATTTCCCATTATAACAAGTAAAGGTGCGGTCATATTAGTGAAATTTTTGCAAGCAAAACGATCTATTGTCTGTTGTCAGTAGTGTAGCAATGAAGCACTGCTCACACTGAAGTCTCTTTCAAGCCAAGCAGCTTTCTGTTGGTTATAATTTGACCTACTTTAACCCATTGTGAAATGTGTGTTTGAAAATCTTTCAAAATTTCTGTTGAAATTCCCTGCGTGGATTCCTATTGAAAAAAAATGCACAGTGATACATATGACCGCACCTGAATACTCTGGATATTCTACAATATTTATTTTGTATTTCCTGTAAGAAAGAAAGTCTCGTCAAGTTTTGTAATAACTATGAGAGTGAGAAAATAATGACAGAATTTTTAATTTTTAGGTGAATTATCCCTTTAATATGCTTGTGCATGTTTGTGTACACATGCTAGATATGCAGTCTATGTTTGTACAGGTATAATAGCATTTTTAGAGAGGCCATTTTTCAGTATCGGTTAGAAACACCTTGAACTCCAGTTACGATATTGGGTATTTTAATGAAGTGGATAATTATGTAATTAATGCTGATTGTGTAAAACCTTAGGGTGCATTTTTTTGCTCCTGATTTGTGGGTCCAGTGTTAATATGATTGATGGCAGTGTCATTCCTGTGCATCGATGCAGTAAGTCATAACAGTTTCGACCGGAGGTACTGTACACTGACTAGAGATTTAGAGCACAGCATGTCACCACTGTAGAATTCCAGCTTTCATTGCAAAACTCATTCAGTAATATTGTGGGAATTTGGGATAATCTTTTTTGGTAGTTAATTTTAAATTCCAGCACTATTTCTCCATTGAATGAATAATGACTGCAGAAAGGAACTGGGGAAAAAGTTATTCTAAATTGCACTGGTATAAACATTAACGGTGGCCGTGATTTTTCCAGAAGTGGTCCTGGATCAGCATCCTTCAACATGGATATAGATATAGAAATGGGGTGTATGGATGGGGTGGGCTGGTATTCAGAGGCAGGATAGCCAATCAAGAGCCACAGACATGAATAGAATGGGAAAGCTGGGTAACATTCTCCTGGTATAACAGTTTATAATATGATCTTGGCTTATCCACCTTATAAGTTTATAATTTTCCTCAGATTTTAGAGAATGTTTTTCCTGGGCCAACAAAATATTTGCACTTGGCAGACTCATAGTTATAGTGGATCCTAACCAACATGATCAGAAAAATGTGTTAAAGTGAATGTTCAGTCATACTACATGACAGAAGGATCCTTTGACTGTGTACCCATCAGGCTTTGTTCACAAATTTTCCCCTCTATGGTATGTATTATATTGTAATTCTCTAATATTTTTCCATAACTTTTTTGACATAGAGTTAGTCTTAATACGAAACCAAACCAAACTAAAACAAAACAAACAAACAAACAAGGTTGCCACAACTCAGTACCACAATGGAAATTGGTCATACAAGTTAATAAGAACTACTACTTTTCCCTCCAACTAAATGCTTATTTTCTGAATCCATATATTCACACACTTGAATCAGCATTTTTTGTTTTTTAATTGTTTTTAAAGTCCCAGCTCATCTTCACTGTTAAAGTCAGTTTTGCACTTCTTTCTGGTAGTTGTTCATGCAGGAAGCATAAATCATGCTTTATGCACAAATACATTACATTAAACACTTCCAAATAAATATATAACTCTTAGAATATACTGTAATTAATTCCATTATTGATGAAAATTTCCATTGAGGAAATGCATTACTTTCATTCCATTGTGCTACAGAATTTGCATATGGCAACATATTTTTTGCATTTACTGCAAAATGATTTTAAACAAAATCGATCTGTGAATACAATAATCTATTTAACTTATGCATTCTACATATTATTGGTTATATGTTTCTTCTTTTAATTCCAAAAAATGCAACGTGTTGTAGTTTTTGTCCTGAAAGGCAAGAAAGTGAAGAAAAAGTACCAATGAGTTCCACAGACCAATGAGAAGAAAATAACTCTGAATGGGTTCAGGGAGGTCTAGTTATTAACTTTTGGCTAATGGTTCAGACCTGGATTTGTGTTAGTTTATTTGCTGCAGTTGAATCTTTGTTTGTCGCAATTAGCCTCACTGACACATGGTTCTGAAAGAGTCTTTGATCTATAAAGGAAGAACCGCACGTTGGGTTAGATGAGTTCATACTTGCATCAGTGGAGAAGACTGCACAAGACATCATCAATTAAACCCAACGTGAGATCAAAGAATGGGCAGAATTTGGGGAAGAGCTGTATGAAATATCTCTCTCACATCTCTGAAAATTGTATGAGTGGTGTTTGCTGAGCCAAGCATCACTGTTGCTCAGTGAATGTAGGATTTGAACACATGGATTACTGTGACCTCATCCTGCACTGGTTTCTGTTTCAGACATGAATTGAGAATAAGAAGATTCAGTTAACGCCGAATGTGCACTTGGATGGTTAGATACATGATGGGCTAGTATAAAAAACTAAAATAACTTAAGGTCTTTCCAGCATTAAGGTAATCCTGCTTTTTTTTTTTAATAATCTTGTCTCAGTTACAAATTTGACTGGTAAATGATAAAGAATGATAGCCCCTTTTGTATTGCATTGCATTGCATATAACAGATTGATAAAAAGACATGCTATTTATGACTGGATGTAACTTTTGATACTTCGCCGTAAAAGAGGCTCTCCGATTGACTTTGCCCTATCAGTGCGGCTCCCATGAAAAAAATAGTGAAGACCACTGCTCTAAAGAATAAGGATTGCTTGGGGTGTAGATTTGCAATATGACCTTTCAGATATAGAATGGAGCCAAATATGTGTTAAAGTCCAGAATTTGTCAATTAATACTAGATTTAAGCTGATTCAATACAACTGGGTAATGCATACTTATGTCACCCCTGACAACACTAATTTCCTCAATTATCTCTAAACCAAAATCAGTGACCTCTGAAATATGTACTTTGGGCTTATTTCCTGTAAGTTTATCATTATCAGGTTATCATGCTAAAATGATTGATATTTGTCCAGTTCTTGCAAGACGTTTAGTAGCATTTTACTGGAAGAACATAGAAGGTCCATCCATTGATCATTGGTTGAAGGATCTGGCACATTATATTGCATTGGAAAGAATAGCATACAGTATAAAACGCAAACTAAAGGACTACCATAAAATGTGGAATCTGTTTATACAGTTTCTGGAAAATAACCAAATATTGACACAGGCAATGTTAAATACCTCTCACTCTACTGATTGGTATGTGTAAATATGTTGCGCTTTTGTATTTGAAAATATGTGGATATGTCTGTCTTAGCCCTTGTATAATAACTTCTTTACCTCATGTTACAGTATCAAACTATCACATGCAATATTACATCAAGCACTTCCAGTTAGCATCAACACATTGTTTTGCTTTTGCATTCCCTATAGCACAATTGGCCAGTTCAAGTCAGAGCATTTAGCAGATCCAAGTCATCTGCCCTGTTGCCTTGGCAACGTAGTTCCGGAAAATACTGCCTTGATTGAGAGAGTGAAGAGATGTTACGATACGGAGGTCAGATTCTGCACAATTCCTGGACACAACAATGCATCGACAGAAATACAAGCGTAACCCAACAGTTACCAAACAACATAGAGAGCGCTGGACAGAATCATGGGACGCCTGATTGGGGTGCATGGCTGTAACCTCGGCTGGTGGCAGACAGAAAGAGAAAGGGGAAAATGTGTGAAAGCCCTCAGCTGCTCCCTGTCTTTACAGTGTAAACTACACATTTGAATAGAGATCCAATTTGATGCTCAGCATGCAGAGTCACAGCCGCGCACTTCAAATTTATCGGGAGAAATGACTTGGTAATAGCCTGAATAAGCAGGTATTATGTAAACACTGGGAGTGGTTTCGCGAACACCTGCTTGTGACAAACAGCGTCAAACTCAAGCG